ATCTGGGGAGATGCGTCAGTCAACAAGGGTTTGAATTCTAGGCTCAAAATATTTATTAAAAATAAAAGCTGGGTGTGTGGCATGCTTTTAAAATCTCAGAGCTGGGGAGGCAGAGACAGGTGGACCTCTGGGGCACACAGACCAGCTACTTTAGCTTGCTTGATAAATTGCAGGCCTGTAAGAGAACTTGTCCCAAACAAAAGGGAGGTTCCACTTGAGGAATGACATGACGTTGTTCTCTGGAATCCTTATGCATGCACACATATGTGCCAAGCATCTGCATATATATGAACCTACATACATACAAACACACATACACACACAAGAACAAACACAAAAAATGTAATTCAAAAGATCATACAAAAATAAAGGTAATATAACATCATCAAAACTTACCATTTCTTTATTGTTTTAACACACTTAGCTGTTTGTAGTTTTTAAAGTATTTTCATCTACTGTACTAGTATGATGGTATATTCTTTTATTTCCCTTTCTATCAGTAGGTAGCTTAAATTCATCCATAGAAGTATTTATATAGAATTAATAAGCTTGACAAATTAAATCTGTATTGTTGTTTAGATTTATGAAAATGATCAATATTAATGATAAATTTAACTTCAAAATGTGACATTTTGGTCTATTATGAACAGCATTAGAAGATGAAGCATTATTCTGAAAAAAAATAATTTGATTAAAAATGTGATTCAAATTATTAGTGATTGAATTTTCATCACACATATTTATTACTTCATATTTTGCTCATTAATTGGAACAAAAGCTCACTAAAATTTATGATGAAGTTACAGTGATTAATTGTAAGCACAGTTGACTAAATTAGGTCAAAATCATTCCCATAATATCAGTTGGGTATATGTATTTACGGTAAATACTACTGTATATTTCATTATTATTTGTAAATTTTATAGTATACTCCCTTAATGCTAGTAGTACATATATTTGTCTACATACCACACACACACTATGCATGCTTTTTCCAGGTGTGCAATTCTTAAACCACAAAAACTGCAACACTACTTTATACATTCACTCTTTTTCTTTTTGTTTTTCCAGACAGGGTTTCTCTCTGTAGCTTTGGAGCCTATCCTGGAATTCACTCTGTAGACCAGGCTGGCCACGAACTCACAAAGATCTGCCTACCTCTGCCTCCTGAGTGCTGGGATTAAAGGCATGTGCCACCATGCCCGTCATTCATTTATTTTCTTATAAATGTACGGGTGTGTATGTGGAGGTCAGAGGCAGAGGTTTCTCTCTCTCTCTCTCTCTCTCTCTCTCTCTCTCTCTCTCTCTCTCTCTTCCTCCCTCCCTCCCTCCCTCCCTCTCTTTCTCTCTCTCTCTCCTTTAGACAGGCACTCTTACTCAACTTGAATCTCAAAATTTTCACAACACTAGCTAGCTGGTAAGTGAGATTCTGAGCCATCTTCCCAGTCCTTCACTCATGTTTTATAATTCATCAATACAACAAAAATAAATGCAATATTCCTGTCACCTAAAAAAATACTTAACCTTTAACTTGTCACAAAATTTTTTAATTTGTTTTCCATAAGGTGGGGCAATAACTAAAACATGAAAGAAAAACAATCTACAAAATGATTTATACATAAGACCCAACAATTTTTTTTTTCCTTTTGTCTTAGGAGTTGAAGAGTTAGAACACTATATTAAAAGTTAAAAGTAAACTTCCTCACAACTTCTACTCTTGGAGATACAAAGCATTACAGATATCTGTGGTTATATTTTGTTTGTGATCTAACAAATAAAGCTTGCTTGAATATCAGAGTACAGAGCTAAGCCACTAGTTACCCATAGCGGCCAGGCATTTGTGGCACACACCTTTAATCCCAGCACTTGGGAGGGGAAAGCAGGAAGATCAGTAGCTCAAGGCTATCCTTGGCTACACAAGATTGATCCAGTCTAAAAGAGAAACAGAATAGGCAGTGGTAGCACACACCTTTGATTCCAGCACTTGGAATCTCATGCCTTTAATCTCAGCACTGGGGAGGTAGAGACAGGAAGTGACATGGCTAGGCAGAGAAAAAAAATATAAGGCAGGAGGAGACAGGAACACAGAGCTCTTTCAGACTGAGGATTTCATAGAGGTAAGAACTAGTGGCTGGCTGCTCTGCTTCTTTGAGCTTTCATTCTGATATCTGACTCCTGGTTTTTATTATTAAGATCAATTAGGATTCATGCTACAGATATCCACAAAAATTCTCCAACTAATCATCTGTTACATCCATACAGTTAAGTGTATAAGGTTTCACTATGTACCAAACATATATGTTTTTTAACTTCTGGTCCTTTGCTCGGGTTTTATTTCTTTTAACTTGGATGATCCTACCTCACAAACTCATTTTTGAAGGGTCTTATTCTCATATTATTCCACAAACTAGATTGGACTTAATAACATCTTCTCCAATAATGATTTGTAATTAAATTACCTGGTTTTGACCTGATTTGCTCTCTTGAAAATATATATAGATGATATATAGATGTGTGTGTGTGTGTGTTGTATATATATATACTGATGAGAAAACATCAGGTCATATAGAATCTCCAAACAAGTTTTAAGCCTGAAATTATATGAATGTATGCAGCAAAAATATATCAATACATGAATAGATTTATGTATTAGTGTTTTACAGTAACAAAGATAAAACAAATACAAATTGTTAATATTTTGCTTTTACTGTTGCCATTGGGAGTTTTACTATATGGCCTGCTTCCTATTCTCTTCATTCATACCATCCGATGTTCTTAGCAAGCAACAGATAGAGGACTCAGTTGCGTGAAGTGAAGTAAAAAGGATAAGAATGCAGAAAAATAAATGGAGAGCTAGTATTAAGGAGGGGTCTTCAATGATAAATTTAGCAGTCTAAGATTCATCTGCTAGAATTCTGAGAAAGAAACTGTTACGAGGAGGTTAAAGCCAAGAAAAGATTATGCTAGATCAGTAGTTCTCAACTTGTGTGTCATGACCCCTCTGGGGTTGATTGATCCTTTCACAAGGGTGGCATATCTATTACCCTGCATATCAGATATTTTAATTACAATTCATAACAGTAACAAAATAACAGTTATGAGGTAGCAACGAATATAATTTTATGGTTGGGGTCACCACAACATGAGGAATTGTATTAAGGGGTTGCAGTATTAGGAAGAGTTAGAACCATTGCTCTAGAGTAGTTAGGTAAGATAAATACCTTTACGTAACACTAGCAACAATGACAGCAACAATAAGAAGGATAAGGAAGAAGAGGAAAGGGAGGTAAAAAATTGTGAAAGGAAGAAAAAGAAGGTGGACAGAGAGAAATAGCAAATACAGCAAACATTTATTTAGTACCATGAAGAAACAATTCTAACATTAATGATCGCATATCAGGTATTACTTATAAGACAGATTTTTTTTAGCACTGTCATTTTCATGTGCAGATAAAGCTACATAAGATCTGAGACACACTTATGCAAAAAGTCACACAACCAGAAATTGTCATCTAGAATTTAAACACAGGCAGTCTGACTCCAGAACATATATTCTAAAACGCTATGCTAAATAATTTAGAGTCATGATTTATTTGATGTTTCCATATACTAAACTAATTTCATGTGCCCAGTAGTATCCCTAAATTAAAATTAAATAATGGACAAAATAGTAAGATAATTCCAAATAAAATGAGCATAAAATACATTTTTGCAAAATTTCACTTAATGACCCTAATATGGCATTTATTTACATTTTTCCATTAGAAGCTGCTGTAGACATTTAAAAGTAAGCAATAATAGTAGGTTAAAAGTGACAAAGATCAGAAACGATGTGAATCTCCAAGAATATCTGACTTTGGGAAAAAGTGGCTAAGTAGAGAAACTCTTCATAAGATAGGCTGCATTAAAGAAACTGACCTTATTCACTCTGAATTGTGAAACATCACATTTTCTAATTAAACACTAACATATCTAAATTAATCACAACATGAATGACACTGAAATGTTTTTTTAAAATCCTTAAAATGTGAATTCCTACATACAAATATTCTATACTAAGTTGATTGTTTCTAAGTCTATGTAAAAATAATCTCTGAGACTCCTTATATAGTTGCTCTGTTTATTCATATTTAACTATTCTGTACTGTTAAGAACAGTGAGAGAAAATGGATTAACAATAACCTTTTGATGAAATACATCCATGTTTAACAGTCCCTCTGTATTTTTACTTGCTATATATGTATGTACATATATATATGTATACTAAATATATAAGTACATATATATTTAATACAAGGTCACATTAATGATAAAAATTTACCGAGTAAACATTTATAGTGCACCCAAAAATAAAAAGTAAAACCAAAATTTCCACGGTTTAAAGTTTTTATATACTGTATCAAAAGGCAAAATAATATGTTTTATCCAGGAATAATTTAAATCTTGCATGCTATAATGCCATTACATATTCTCTTCTCTCAATCTCTCTCTCTCTCTCTCTCTCTCTCTCTCTCTCTCTCTCTCTCTCTCTCTCTCTCCACACACACACACACACACACACACACACACACACACACACACACACACACTTCAAAGAGAGAGAGAGAATGCTTAATCATTATAGGAAAGAAGAGAGACAGCAATATACCAAACTGCCATGACATCCAAAATCCCAGAACCAAAACAGATGAGGTGCTAGAACTTTTACAGAAACAGTATTAACTAGTATTCATGCAACATGAACCAATTAGCCAGCCAGATGTTTCCCATCTGGTTATCTGACATACTGAAAAGGTCCCATTTGACTCACATTTTTTCCACATTAAAAAACAGCTGTTAACAGTAAAGACCCTGAAACATCTTATTAACTATATTTTTACCATGTAGTTGCAAAGCAGATTGTATCTATATCATTATAATTAAATCCTTAATATTGTAAAAAATGTTTTCTTTACTTCACATCAATAGATTTGCTTTTATTGTTACCATTGCTTTCTTACCTGGTCTTCTCTTGACATAGCTTGCTCTTCAACTTTACCCTAAAGGTGTGAGGAGGGGGAAACAAGACAACTTATCAGGAAAACACACCCAAAAAACGAATAGAATTTTAAAAAGAGGTTACAATGAAGAGAAGATGAAATATAGCAGTCCGAGCATCTAAGTAATATTTCTATAATACATATATATTAATAGTATCAGTCTATGCAATCATCTACAACTCTGAAACTAAATTCATATTCAATCAATATTTTAAAACATTAAAATGTTTACATTCTGAGAAAAATGTAAAATATCCTTAACTGACAGAATTTCCAGCCCCAGCTTTTGACATCTCTTCTGTTTAAGATTACCTTACCGCTCCTGCTTCTGAAATGCTATGTATGTGTGTTTAGTTTCCACCCCCATACCCAGATAAAATTCACCTGAGTCTTGAGACGTGAACCCTTGGTAATCTTATCTCTCAGAAAAGAAAACCATTATGATTGTGTTCCTGATACAAATATAAGAAAAACTATTTAGAAGTAACAGAAAGCTTTGGGAGACTGATCATGTCATCTTATAGTTAGCAAGCAGTAGTGAAAGAAGGGAATGGTAGGCATAGTCAGGCACATGTCTTGCTATTAATAGAATGACATTTCTAGCAGCTGTCCAAATAGTTCAAGTCCCCCATCACAACTGTAACTTACCTCAGAGTCTATAAAATTAACCAGCCATCAATTCTGGAATTTAAATAGCTATGAATATTTGAAAAAGTTTCTACTTTATATGCGATATGAGTGATAAATTACCTAGTAAGATAATAATATATTTTCTTTGGTCTCAATACAGTCTTATACTTGGAACCAGATATTTATTCAAATACTTGATTAGGCATTAGTTTTTACTATCACATATCTTTGGTCTTTACATTAGACTTTTATTTCTATTTATAGCTTTAGAAATATTAGATGTAGAAGAAAGGCCAAAATAAAGGTTAATTTAGATTGCAAGGTTGTATAATGATTTCAGAATTTTTCTTGCAGAATGTTAAAGAATAGAAGGATAAGAAAATTAAAATTAATCATGAGGGTAAAATGGCACTTAAGACATAATAATTACATATGGCAATAAATATGATCAAGGTTTGTAATGGGCATATGTAAAAATGTTATACTGAAATTCATCATTTTGCATAACTATTATATACTAATTTTAACAGGGAAAGAACGAACAGAATGAAACTAAGTTGCTTTAGAAGAGAAGGTTTAAGTATTGAAAAGCAAAGATTTTAAATCTATTTCAATATAATAACATAAAGAATGAAAAGAGGATTAAAAAGCAAAATGGGTAATGTTTTATAACATGAAATTAGTCATGACCATGGTATCAAAGAAGGCATAATAATACTATGCATGCTTTACATTCATAAGTGATTTTAACAAATTCATTTTCACATGTAGATTCTTGTTCCCACTACACTTAGAGAAGTGTTTTGTTCATTATAGGTTTGTTTCTCAAAAATTTCCATTCATTAACATATTGCTATGAGATACTCAGTAAGTAAATAACATTGCGATTATTTTTTCTATTAAATCTCTTTGAAGCTGTTGAAATCTAACTCCATTGTACTGGGAAAGCAAAAAGATCAAATGACATTTCAATGAAAACTAAGCATATGCTAGGAAAGGTTTACAAGCTCATATGGAAAATACCTTTAACTATGTTCTTAGATAACTTTCAAAGCTAAGTTCAATGGTGGTAAATTAACTTGAATGAAGTTGAATCTTGAGACCATGTTAGTACTAATCTTCCTTCCACTTGCTGAGCAGTAAACCATCTGCTTTGTCATCATCTAAATCACATTCCATTCTTCTAACATAGTTAAAATTTATAACCATTTGTCGTTGCAACTTGGGACTTAGGCGATGGAATATGTTCTAAAGAACACTGCAGTAATCTCCACATTTCATAGTGTTGAGTGGGTAAAGAATAGACTCAATATCTTAAAATACTGCTTCTCTGATTTAACTGGAAACTTTTAGTGTGCTTTATTAAATAGATCTACCATGAAAGTAAAGGAAGAAAGTTTTTCATCCTTTTATGTAATAACTCCAGATGAGAAATACAACAAAATAAATTTTAAAATGTCTAATTGTTTTACTGAAAACTTCCAAATTTAAGAAACAGCATAAAAATTGGCTAATAGTGGCACAATGAAAGCAATAAATTATTTTATTTTTGTATTTTCAAGAAATTCTCAACAACATGAAAACCTACACAAAAATAATAGCCCATACCTTATGACATTTTCTGTACTGCAAAACGGAATAGAACTATTAGTAAGTGATGTATTCTGCCTGATATCTGAGCATTAACTACATTTGGTAAGGAATTCAAAAATAAATGCAGAAACACATTAATTGCTGTGGGATGTCTTTCTGTATGGTATGAATATGCATTTCTCTGATTGGTTGATAAAGTTTTACTGGGCTATGACAAAGCAGCTTACAACAGGCAGGCAATCTAAGCAGATACACTGAGAGAAGGATAGGCAGGAGAGACACCAGCCTGCTGCCCAAGGAACAGCATGCCAGCAGACCAGTAAGCCACAGAACACGTGGCAAAACACAGATTAATGAAAATGGGTTAATTTAAGATTTAAGAGCTAGCTAGCAAGAAGCCAGAGCCATAGACCATACAGTTTGTAAGTAATATAAGCCTCCATGTGTTTACTTGTCCAAACGGCTGTAGGACGGGCAGGACACAGGAAAACTTCTGACTACATCTGGCTGCCCAATGTGTTGGCTTGAATTTCCACCTAAAACCTGACAAAACTTAAAACAAAAGACTCTAAAACAGAGCTAAAACCAGCTTCCTAGTTATGTCTTTCATGCAAGCCATGAGCTACACACAGTATGGTGGGTTTGTGGCATGTGGGCTTGACCTGCAGCATGGCGAATTCTTGCTGTGGTACACAGAGGTGATTCCAAGCTGTGCAGTATGCTGCTTAGTGGATTTAGCTTTTGCTAGTATAGACAAAAAAAAAGGTTTCTGGGCTACATGATGCTGGATGAAGGCATAGACCTACTGCCTCCTGGAGTCAGCAGAGAGCAAGGCTCCCAGAGATGGTGGTGTATTACCTCTGCCATATTGGGAAACTGAGGTGGGCAGTCAGCAGCCAAGGCTGCCACTTCTGTACTAGCCACTACAGTTTAAAGCAATAGATTTACAATAAGACAGTTTCAGAGGGAATAAACCCTAAACAGTTTACAATGTGTGTAAAAATATACGTAGGCTTGAAAGAGAGAGGAAAATAAATACAGATAGTTACATAAAAAAATTTAAAAAATAAAGCCTTTAAAGAGACAGTAAAAGTAATATAAAAAATAGCCCTGTATTTACAGGTGGATATTACACAGAGAATCTGGATTATATTGTCTTTGGTATTTTTAACTGGAGAGAGACACCTGATTATAAAGGCTGCTAAATTAAACCAATATATGTATTTTAAAGGTATCTTGACTTCAAAATTTGGATCTAAGGATATGTTGCTTTGTAAAGGAGGCTCTGCTTTTATTCCCACAGGAAGCAAGTGGCTATGGATTTGTTCCAGGTTAAGATGGATCAGATTTAATCTAGCCAGACCTCCTATCAACAAAGCTTATAGCCAGTCTTCCCAGAACTTGACCATTATCTGGAATTTTCTCAGGATCCCCATAAGACTACCAGCACCCACAATTAGCAGGAAGTAGCCTAGAAAACTATGCCCACATTCTCAAAAACTGGATTATGGATATTTGTCTTTGTTTAGAGATTGGTTACAAATTGTTATTGGTCACAGTCAATATCTTTCTAAAGAAAAAAAAGGGAATAGGATATAGATATGATAGGATGAAAGGGTAGATTATTGAATCTACTTTTAAAGAGCAACAACTTGCGTAAAATGTTTTAAATTGGTATAGATTTCAGTTTATTACAAATTTAAAGTTAATTTTTTATACTATATGTAAATTTATACACTTCTTTAAGATATTATGTTTGTATAGCTCATTTAATATTGTAATGTATAATTAAGAAATATAGATTAATAATTAGTCTCCATGATAATCAAACTTAGAGTCATGTTAGTTAAGTTTTCTAGGTATACATAGATATATTTCAGTTAGGTAGGTAATCTTCAAATACTTCAAAGACCTATGGAACATGGCATTTAAAATATTTTAAGAACTTTGACTTTCTGGACATTGAGACACATCTGCTCCTGGCAGCACTGATTTACTTTAAAGAGGAAGACGGGTGTTGAAGACACTCCATACAGAGTTTATCTTCTTCTTGGCAAAAATAGCCATTTAGTCAAGAGACTGTTCTTGCCTGGACTGCTTGACAAAATGTTGTATCAACTGGACATACAGGACCCATAGGAAGATGATCACTGAAATTTGCATGATGAGATGGTCCTTTAGATTCCTGCTTCACAGAGAAGACTGCCAGATATTCTACAGGATACATGGAAAAACAACTAAAAATCTCTAGGCCTATAGGCCAAAGATGGATGTCCCAACATTACAGAGGAACTTTGGGTGATTTGTCCAGGAACCTAGCTGTCTCTGTCATTCAAGATTTTTGAAAGTTGCTTGTAATGCACTTCTTATTTACTTAGGTAACATTATATCCTTCTGAGGCCATTGATGTAGTTGAAAGATAAATAGTTATCATTTTTCTTAGTTATGATAAAAGATAAATTAGATATGAAACTTTAGACTCACAAATATAGGATAGATGATAGAATATTCTTTAATTTTGCCAAATAAATATAGACTAGATATTGTAACTGTAATTCTTGCTTGATAACTGTTTTATTATAAGTAGTTTTACTATGTTAAAGTTAAAACCTTCCTTTTTTATTAGATAGAAAAGGGCAAGTGCTGTGGGATGTCTTTCTGTATGCTGTGAATATGTGTTGCTCTGATTGGTTGATAAATATAATGCCGATTGGCCTATGGCAAGGCAGCTTACAAACAGGCAGGCAATCTAAGCAGATACACTGAGAGAAGGAGAC